ATGGGCACACCCCTAGCTCATCCCCTTCCTGTTACGCTTATGCCTATCATAGATCCCCTTCCTACAATGTGTTTGCCTATTGTACTGTCCCTTCCTGTGATATGTGATTCTGTATTTATGTCCTCCTAAAGTGATATAACGCTTGGTTAGCAATAAAGAAAGAGCTCTCCCTGGTTCTCGGTACTGGGGGCTCTCTCCTGCTCTCGGGCCCGGGGCTCTCTACTTCTCTCGTGGCTGGGCTCCCCCCATGTGGACCATCAAGTGAGGTTGAGGTGAGCAATGCTACCATGAATTGTGTCTGACTCCCATTAATTCAATCTTTCCTCTACCTCTCATGCTCTCTATGACCTTACTATAATCTTTACTTATTATCGCTGTACAATTGCGCCTACCGGACCTGTGATGATTTGTGGGGGACCCCTCTACTCCCCACACTGAGGGCCAGTATCGGGCAGGGCCATGATGAAAGAACTAATTGTTCTTAAGTTGGAGCTAGGATTTAGTGTGATCCCAAAGCCCAGTTCTGGATCTATGCTTTTATTTATTTATTTTTTCAATTTGCTGTAACTTGGGAGTTAATATATATGCCATGTCATTCTATGGTTCAATCACGTCAAACAGAATTGTACAATTGCTTCCATAATCAGTTTCCAAACATACTTTTCCTTCCGGACTTACATCTCTTCCCTTTTATCTCTCCCACTGCCTGAAACCCTTGTTCTATTTGCTCGCCCTATGGCTCAACGTCCTGTCCCTGGGTTTCATTTACCAATAAACAGAGAAACAAATAATACAACTTCAAGAGGGTGACCCCCAAGGGCTACACACCTCTGAGATACACCCTACTATGAACAAGCATAAGTAAAGTATAACAGAATGACAATCACAGGACAAGCAGAGGATTTTTAGGGTGCAAAACTACTATATAAAAATATAATGATGGCTACAAAAGTCAAAGACTTATACAATACAAAGATCAAACCTTAGTGTAAACTCTGAACTATAGTGAATAATAATAATAATGCCATCAGTATTGGTTCATAAAACAAATGTCCACACTAATGTGAGTGGGGTAATAAGCAAACTAAATTTACTGTCGTTTGTTGACTCTGACTCAGTGACCCTACAGGACAGAGTAGAACTACTTCATAGGATTTCTGAGGCTGTAAATCTTTTGGAAGCAGACTGCCTCATCCTTCTCCTGCAGAGTAGCTGATGGGTTTGAATTGCTGACTTCGGTTGGTAGGTCAACATTTAACTGACTGTGCCATATGCAAACAAAAGAGCTAAAACAATAAAGCTTCTAGGAGAAAACAGGTGAATATCTTCACAGACGGTCAGTCTGATAGAGTAATAACCAAAAAACCAAAAATGCTATCAATCAGACTTCATTAAAAATAAAACCCAAACCACTCTGCTCATCAAAGACACCATTAAGAGTGACTAGTCAAGCCACACACTAACTAGATCTTTGCAAAAATTATAGGTGATAAAAGATTTGTATCTAGAAGA